TAAATTTCGTGTGATGTTGTTATGTAGGGTTTTTACTAATTAGTGTAAATACGTGATCAAATACTTTTGTCCAGCTATAATAATCGACAGTTTAGTGTAACGTAACTATTGCCATCACACACAAAAATCTAATACTTTCAAATTTTATCATTAAAAAATGGCCTACTCCAATTCCAGCAAGCCATTAACAACTTCAAACGAAACCCCAAAAGATTATGAAGTATAAACATCTTTAACGATGGTTGCAATTTTGTTTTATACTATAAATATTAATATAAATAAGTAATAAGTTCATTTTACAATTGTACATACATGCATATAATGTAGGTTCCTCAATCACCTCCAGATGGAATATCATCGGTTACATTTTCTCCACAGGCGGATTATTTTGCAGTTACTTCTTGGGATAATCATGTATTTCTGAATTTTATATTTTATAATTTTTGAATTCTCAAGATTTACAACTAGAATATTAATTAACCAATATTTACAATGATTTATATAAAAAGGTTCGAATATATGAAGCAAATCAACAAGCTGGTACTACTGAAGGAAAAGCTTATCATTTACATGAGAAACCAGTACTCTGTTCGGCCTGGAGTAATGTTCGTATGATAACAAATAATTCGTTCGTTCGCTCATTCATTCATTCATTCATCAATCACTCAATCAATCAATTTCTCAATGAATATATTAGGATGGTACGAAGGTATTTTCAGGTGGTGCAGATTGTGCAGGACGTATGTTTGATATCACCACCCAAACTGCAACTCAAATAGCTCAACATGTGCAACCAATACGATGTATCGAATGCGTCGATGCAAACAATATCGTAGTAACTGGAGGTTGGGATAAAACACTCAAGGTGGTAACCTTTTTTAGAAGGAAAGAGATTTATTCATAAATTAATTACTGATTGTGGTTATTGTCATTATTGTGGTTATTTAGTATTGGGATTTAAGATCTCCACAACCTGTTTTGAATGTTAATCTACCCGAAAGAGTTTATGCAATGGATTTACATTACCCACATCTTGTGGTAGGAACAGCTGATAGAAATGTTATATATTACAATCTTACCAACCCAAGTCAACCAGTAAAAGTAAGAAAAAAATTGATGAGCTTTTTATTTAATTATTATATGAATATTAATTAATGTAATTTTAAATTGATCAAATAGCAAGACTTTAGTACATTGAAATGGCAAACACGTTGTGTTGCATGTTATCCAGCAGGTAATGGTTACGCAATAGGAAGCATTGAGGGAAGAGTAGGCATACAATATTTCGATGAGAAAGATCAGTAAGATTATCATTTCAATATTGATTAGTTGGTTTGTTTTAATTTTGCTTTTTTTTTTTGAATTGAAGCTGATTTTTTTATTTAAACAAGACGACAAGGATTTTCATTCAAGTGCCATAGAGATGGAAATAATATTTATGCAGTGAATGCGATATCTTTCCACCCATTATATGGTACATTTTCAACATCGGGAAGTGATGGCTCGTTTAGTTTTTGGGATAAAGAATCTAAACAACGAATCAAGGGTTTTAATACGGTTGGTGCACCTATTATTGCCACTGATTTCAATAGAAATGGTACATTGTTTGCTTATGCTGTAAGCTATGATTGGAGTAAGGTAACTAAATTATTTGATTAATCGAGTAATTATTTATTATTTGTCTGTTTATTTATTTATTTATTTATAATATTGAAATTATTATTATTGAAATTATAGGGATATCTTCAATACCCGCAATTACCTACAAAGAATGCAATTTTCTTACGTGCAATATCTGATGATGATGTCAAACCTAAAAAATCAACAAAAAGTCGTTAAATTATTCTTATTATTATTCTTATTATTATTATCACTTTAATATTATATTATTATTTATTAGCTAATATTTTTTTTTATTTCCGTACTCTCAGAATTTATTTAATGTCATATATAATATATATTTTTTCACTTATATGTCAGAATTAAAATATTTAGATTTCTTTATATTTTATTTTATTGAATTTTCTATTTTTTATAAATTAGTAAAAGTTTGTATATGGTATCATTTTTTTAAAAAAGAAAGGAATCTAATCACACATATTCATCAAGCAACTATTTTACAGAATTTACACAAATGATAGACACCATGTATATAATCATCTAAAGAAGAATAGAAGGGCGAAGGATAGATAGAAGGATGAAAAAAGGTGGACGGGAATGAGAAAATAAGGTTGATTCAACAATTAGCAAAGAAGCTTTATTGAGAAAATATTAATATTATGTCGATCAATAAATCGAATCAAGAGGATTGACAATTAAGATTGATATTATATATATATATATACACACATATAAATAAATATAGTTTTTTGACAATGTCTTTGTCATATAATTGTGGCCATGTTCTAATAATAGATGTGCGATTCAGGACAAATTTATATTATAAATGATATGATGATAATAATAACAATATAATCCCAAAGTTAAAATAATATATAGTCGTTCATTTTCCATGATTGGAAAAGTACTTGAAGTACTAGAAAGTAAATATTTATAGTGCAACGGCAAAACACGTGTTAATTACCTGGATACCTGCGACACGCACCTAAATTCTGTGCTGATTATGCTAGCTTAACGTTTTTAATTTTTGCACATCTCCCAATAAAATGATAAATTGAAAAAGAATTTATTTTAATGATATTAATAATATATGGACATTCTCCATTAATAGCAAATAATTAATCAGGTAAGCAACCTGAAAATTACTTTAAAAGGTAATAATACCAATAATAGTGATAATAATAATAATGATAAAAAGTGAAGACAAGTAAAATGGATGAAGGCAAATTTGTAAGTTAAATTAAATCAAGTTTATGGGTGAAATAATTTGGTAGATTAAAATAAAATAAAAGCTTATGGATAAGTTTGTTAATGAAAGCGGGTTGTTTTGTATGAGAGAATTGAGAATAGTCGAAGATTTATTAATAGAAAATTTTTTTATTTTCGTGTGGAAATACATAATTTTTTTTGTGAAATATAAATAGTAATTTTGATTTATCATTTCCATATTTAAAAAATCTCCCTTGTTTACTCGATTTAAATTACTTTTTTCTCGCACAAAAAACTAAATTTTGTTTCGATTGGATATTTATGGTCATAAAAATTAATTCACGAAAATCGAATTTTTGTTTTTTTTACGTTTTTTATTAATGTAACACTACTTCCATCTATAAATATAATGTAATGTTTCTTGTGTCATTTTCCATCGTTGGAATTTATAATTAATTGGGAAAAATAAAAATAAAAAATTATTAAATTAAATGAATAATTAATTAAATAATAATAACAATAATAATTAATCAAAAAATATTAATAACAATAATGTACACACATACATGCACACCAATTAATTTAACAAATCAAAAAAAAAATTTGTATTATATATACTCACACTTGTCCGATGGTTGAACCCCTTGTCCATAGTTCAATTCTCTTTCTCAATTATTGCTCTTGAAAAATACATTTCCACCTTTACTAATAATAATATTATAATTTTATTATTATAATAATTATAATCTAATAAATGAAATATTGATAATATTGATTGCCTAAAGAGCGAGCACAAGTGTTCCCTAAATATAGTATATAATAATAATATAGTATAATAAATACAATAAATATGAATCGTAATCATAATATTATTAATATTTGGAAAGAGAATTTGTTCTTCGGACTTGTTGTTTATTTAATTGCATTGATCTTTATCGGTTCTTCGATTTTCGATTTTATAATAATTAAACCGAGTTTTGCATACGAAACAGCAATAAAGAATGTTGAAACAAATAACAGCGATCTCAGAATAATCAAAGGAGTTAATTATCAGGACGGAACAATTTTATTAAGATTATTGAATCCATTAAATTATTGTAATGAGAACACAATCTATTTACGATTAGTGCACACAAATGGAACGGTTTCAACTTTAAATTTGAACAATTTAAATATTCCAAAGGATAATTTCTGTGATCAACCTACTTTTGTTGCTTATCATAAACTTGCTGATAATAATAATAATGATCATACGTCTACCGCAAAATCAACTTGTTCTAAAAATAATCCACAATGTTCAACTTTGCCAGCAACAGTAGAACCTCAAACTACTGCGACAACTGCAATCCCTACCACAACCAATGCAGCTAATGCACCAACTACTACTAATAACAATCCAAATAATCCTACGACATCACAAACTCCAAATCCAACGAATAACAATACAATAACAACATCTCCGGATGGTAGCGTTGATCGTATAACAATACACGCGATATCTTTTAAATATATTTTAATAAACTATTTTTGTGATCGTTCAGTGTCTAATAAAGTTTGTGGTGATGTCGTCACCTGGACAGGTGAATTAGTCAGGTAAATAAATATTATTTTTCACAAACATAAACTAACTACGATTTAATATATTTACGTGATTGTTATTTGTTGACTATAAATTAATAGTAAAATCGAATTTGAGAATGTATGCGATGATAGTAGGATTGTACAAAGTCATAAAAAAAATGATGGATTTTTACGCGCGTGTTATCTTAAAGACACTAAAGAAATTGTTTGGACAAAATATACTGCACCGTGAGTAATTTATATTTATTTATTTAGTTATAAATTTCGTTGATCATCCTCACATCCTCTTAATTTTTAATTTAATTTAATTATTAATAATAGGAATGTTCCTACTGGTACAATATTCCAAGTTTCTACTGGAAAAATAACAAATGTGATCAACTTTAACTCAAATGTTACAAATTTCTTTTCAACGGAAGATGGAGAATATGCAATGGTTACTTGTACCTCTAAAACAACTACCATTACCAACAATCAATTTACCGATGACTGGTCAATTTCTGTAACATTTTTACCCAAAGACAATGGTTCACCACTAACAGGTCCTTTTGAATTATACAAAAGTAAAACTACTGGTAGTGGTTTAGTTGACATAGTGAACATTCGTAGATGTGATCTTGCCTATGACTCATCAGGTTACAGTTGTCTGATTTCTATTTTCAGATCAACAACAACAAAAACATCGTTTATAGATGTTGATTTCTTATCATCTGGTATAGTAAATTCGGTGACTCCGGAATTTTCAATTACTCAAATTACCACAGCCACAATATGGGATGTTCAAACATTGTATTATGGTGGATATGTTATTTTGGTGGAAACTCCAGCCGGCAGTGTTGAAGGACATGTTTGTAGTAACAATGGTACTTATTTTGGAAATTGGGGTTTCACAAACCAATATGAATACACAAATAAAATTGCTGGAGTTCTTCCAAACAATACACTTTGGACAATACCTAAACAACAACTTGATGATAATCATTCTTGGACCTGTGTATTAACTGATACTTTAACCACATACAGTACAGTTCAGAATACTAATAGTAATGTTAATACATTCCCTGGTGGCCCTGGTGGATATGGGTCTGACAGTATATTATCAACAACTCCAGAAAAAAATTCAAATATCATATCAGCAGATATCAATTTAATCACAATAACGTATACTAAATCAATTAAAGCATCATCAGGAAAGATTAGTATTTATCAAAAACGTTCTAGCACAAGCCCTAATATTGATGATGATGATAAAGATATATTGCGTCAATCATGTTTTGCGCAATCAGACTATGTTCAAATTTCGAATGAAACCACTGCTCAAGTCAAAGTTTTAAAAAGTACCTTTAATAACCCTGGAAACGAATATTATGTGACTGTTGAAGATGATTTTGTTAAAAGTGCGACTACTGATCAAAATATTATTGGTATAAATTCAAAAGCATGGAATTTTAGTACAGGTAAAAATTTTTTTTTTAGAGAGAACGTGTGTCTGTCTATGTATTGGAGTTTATAATCTTTTGTTTTTTTTTTTTACATTATAATATAAATTCTAATACGGTTCCATTAATCTGTATAGTCTTAGTTAAGGATGAATCATACGTTAATTACGATTCAGATTCTGTTAGTTGTATAATCCGATTAACACCAGAAGGCACAACATATTACACATCATTATCAACTGATGATCAAACAGATTTCGTTGGTAAAATGTCAAATGAATTATCCAATGCTCTCCCATGTGATGTGACACGTGTAACAACGTTGACAAAATATCAATATAGCCTTCATAATAACAATATCAATAGTGACAATCTTAGTCAAAAAGTATTTAAAAATGTCGGAATGAACATTACAGCTAGTTCAACTGATCAAATATTTATGAGAGTTGAAATCGAGGGCACATTGTCAAGAACAGAGTTGAGTGCAGTACAACTAGCAAGTGATTTGAATGAATTGATATTGAATAAAGACGTCACATTATTATCTAAAGGATTATACACCAATTTGATTGATTCAGGTTATGGAGCTGAACGTTTAGATCATTTCAAAGAGAAATTTAGATGGATATTCATGATTATATTTATTGGATTTTTATTACTAATGCTTATTATTTTATGGATATTAATAAGAATGCATAAATACAAAGCGGTAATTAGATTATTAATATTTTACATATATTTTATATATATTTAAATATAATATTAATCATTTTTTTACATTATTTAGGCGCAAAGATTTTTGGCAGCTGTTATGTTTACGTTCATCATATCAGATTTCTGTCTGAATATTGTTTTTATATCTATACACGGAAAAGATTTCAAATGGTTATACCCTCTAAGGTATTTATTTATACAAAATAACATTGTATTTTTGATATTAGGAGTAATTAATAATTAATTATAATATTATTTTTACAGCATCACATTTGTAGTAGTACCAATTGGTTTCAATATGTTGTTCACATATTTGATAATTACTTGTGATTCATCAATCTCAACATTGAAATGGATTGAAAAAAACATTCTGATAAAAGCTATTTTTTTCGTTTTATCATCAATTGATTTGGATTTATCATTTATATTGGCTCCGTATAATGGATCTTCATCGCCTAATTCATCCGCTTCCGCAACAATTAAATCAGAAATGACAGAATCTTCAGAAAAAAGGACTTCTACCTTTTCATCGAAAGCATCTATCACCTCTTCATCTTCTTCATCTTCATCGTCGAGTGGACAATCGTTGATACCAATTGTTAATGGTAATAATAAATTGATTTTGATTGGTAGGGTGTTTGGTTTGATAGTTGAAGATATTGTTCAATTAATTATTTTTGTAAGTATATATTATTAATTATAATCTGATTGATTAAAGTAATTACATTTATAAACTGTTAATTGTTTAATTATTGATTGCTAATTAAATTCACGCTGAAATCATATTATTAATAGATATTGTATCAAGAATTTTCGATCATTCCAGCAATAATACCCATGTTAATGTTAAGTATATGTACAACAGTATTGATCTTGAAATTGATAGTTATTATGCTTGGAGTATATTTGAATTTGTTTTGCGAATGTGATGAGAAACGAGGCAGTAGTAAGATAAAAAGAAGAGGTGGCAGAAGAAGAAGAAAGGCAGGAGAATTTGGTAGTTTAGGAAATATGGTCGGTACTGGTGGTAGTGATCGTGATGAGTATGATGATAGAAAATCAATTATTGACAGCAGTAGTAGTAAATATATGAAAGGGAAAAATGTTGGCAGTGATATTAGTGGTGTTAACAATACCAATAAAAAAAAGAAAAGCTTTAATATTAGTAGAAATAATAGTATTAAAGAAATAGCAGATGATGATACAAATAGTACTACAAGTAATAATAGTAACGATTGTTATAATAGCATTAGTAGTGTTGATAAAAAGAAAAAGAGGAGGAATAGAGGTAGTAAAGAGGGTGAAGAAAAATACGTGTCGTTGTTTGATGATGATTATAAAAAACCCTCTAGAGCAAGATCTATTAAAGAGAAGAATAATACGACTAAGGCAGATCTTGATGTAGTAGATGTTGCTAAAGATCCATTTAATGAAACAGAATCGATGACCACAGCAGTAAATAACATTAATACTAATAATAACGAAAGCAAAAAAGAGAAAGTTGATGATAAATCGGAATCTCTTGAAATTGTGATTGGTAACTAACTAACTTATAAAAATAATAATATTTTATATTTTATTAATATTAGTTAATTAATTTAATTAATGTTTATTTCCTTGGTAGATTCAAAAGAGTCGAATTCAACGTTAATAGAAGTTTCTAATGCTACAACAATTGCTTCAAATATTACAACAGATATTAAAACTGCAACCACAAAAGCTAGTAGTGCTAATAAAAAAAAAGATAGCGTTTATGAAGCAATAAAGAATTTTGAAGAAACCTTGACTTTCGATAATTTAACTGCTAGTAATGGCAGTAACGATAATAAAAATAACATTGACACTGCTGCCAATATTGACAGTACTGCCACAGCTAGTAGTAATATTGGTAAAGATGAAAAGTCAACATTGTCGCCTTTACCAAAAACGTTGTCATCGAAAGCAAATAGTTATGAATCTATAATCAGCAATTATGCAAAAGGTGGTGAGTTATTAGTATCGGTAACTGACGTGGACATTGATACCAATAATAAGAGTAGTAGTAATAATAATAGTGCACAAGAAATCGAAAATGTTCAAAACGTTAGTAGTAAAAATGAAGTGGTTGTTGTTGATGAGATCAGTGATTATGGAGAATTGAATAAGACTCCAACAATAGTTATAAATAATAATGAAATATCTCTAGGAGAAACTGCAGCGATTTATAACAAAGACACCAGTGGAATATTAGCATCTGATGAAGTCGGTACATCATTAACAGAAATTGTTGAACCTTCATCACTATCACCTTTATCATCCACATTTGCATCTGATATATCGTCACACGACATTAATTTACCACCATCATGTGACACGGGTGCATCAGCACATAATAAGGATATTAGTGATGAACCAGAACCTATAATACATACTTCAACAACTACATCAACATCATCAACATCAATATCAACAACATCAGCATCAGCATCAGCATCAGCATCTTCATCATCGCCATCTACAATTGACGTCAACATATCATCAACATCAGCATCAATAACACCAACATCAACATTAGCATCATCTGTAACAAATGCATCTTCAACATCATCATCATCATTAAACGACAATAATAATGATAGTATTAATACTACTATTCCTACTAGTAATACTACTACTAGTAATACTAGTAGTCATAATAGACGTTTTTCATCATTGAAACATAGTAATCACATTAGAAGGAAGAAAAGCAATAGTAGTATTAATAGTGTGAGTAGTGCAAGTAGTGTTGGCAGTTATGCAAGTAATAAAAGTAATAAAAATAATAACCATAATAAATAATAAATAATATATTTGTTAGATTTATCATTTGTCTATTTTTGGTTAGTATATTTAATAATTTACGTTTAGATTATTTTTAGATTATTTTATTTCTGAAATTATTCATTTTTTTTACATTATTCATTTTTGATTTTTAATTTTCTAATTGTTATTTTAAAGAAAATTTTGAATTCTAAATTTTTTAATTATATATACATATATATATATATATATAATATATATATATTGATTTTAATTGTTTGTAATTTTTTTAATATTTTCTAATTTTAAATAAAGCAGAAAATTTAACCGTTATTAATAACAGAGTTTAAGAAAAGATTCAAATAGTTTCAATATCACTATTATTTTATTGAATAATTTGTTATATCAAAGAATTATGATATATAAAAAAATAATGGTGTTTTTTATGAAATAACATAACATTTTTCATACCAAGTAAAACATAATAAAGGAAAGATTGATGTGGGCATAGAGAATCAGATGGCATTCCATGAAAAGGCATTCTAGATTAATATCAATAGTATGTTAATAAGAATTTGGCCACTATCATCAATGGTTCCAAATTCAAGAGAAAGTGCGTTAAATCACATCAACCCAAGTTGTGTTAAAATTTAACATGCATTAATTCCCTCATTGATGTTCTATATTTGTACGAAACTGCTATACTCATCAAAAAATAAAAATCATGAAATGATGGCAAGATAACACTAAACTAAAAAAAAATTGTATTTTTCCATTATTACTTATGCTTGATATATAATTGTACCAAATTGTATTACTATGTTGTCTGGAATGCAAGCACCACTGGAATATAAGCACTAGTAAGAATTTGTTACGAAAAATAGAAAAATAAATATCTTTCTCGTTTTTATCCTCGTCCTCTTGCTATCGTTTTGCATATCGCAAAACTTTCGAGCAGCAGAATATGAAGTAATTATGACACAAAGAAATTTCGAATAATATAACTGCGATTACTATTACTATTACCATCATGAGAACTAACTGGGAAAAACCAATGTTTTTTTACTGTCTCCGAGTAAGTAGCTTCAATTGCAAGGTTTGGCCAACAGTGTGAACACTAACAAGACCCTGCAAACTATATAGATCAGTGTTGGCTATGACACGTCATGCTGGACAAAAGTATACCACATTTTGTTGCAAAAAATAATTGCAAGCAATCGCATTTTTTCCATGATGTCATTTATATTAATATATATATGTATGTGTGGACTTTAGGCAGACGAGTGGAAACTATCATGGGAAAATGGTATGACCAATGAAATTCAAAGAAATTTATATTTTAACAATCTGTAATTAATAAATTGTTCTCACAAATAACACTCGTATTTTTTTATTACTTTTAAATAAAGTGCCTCCAAAAGTAAAGTAATTCCAAAAAAATATGAATTTTGCTTATTTGTTTGCAGATGATTGAAAAGGAGTTTACTTAAATCTACTGAGACAAAGCTATTTTAAGTAAAGAAGCTATTTTGGTTGAAAAGCCAAACAATTTAGCAGATGGCTTGGGAGTTTCAGGTAGAACATTGGAATTTTCTGCTGAAATGGCTCAAATAATTTAAAAAACGTAATGGAATCCGTCACCAGAAGCTTCATTTCATGGACATCACTGATGCCTTACCGTTGTTGAAAAGTATATGTGAAAGCTGTCATACACTTGAAGGAATATACAATATGGATGAAACGGGAGTTTTTTTTACAGATTAAAGCCAGATAGAACATTAGCCATGCTGAGACTTTCTGGTTGTAAAAGCAAATAAAGAAGGAGTTGGTATTGCTTTGTGTGCAAATGTTGCTGATGTGATTCATGGATTAGATTCCTTAATAATTGGAAATTCACAAAAAGCACAATGTTTTCATTAATGTTAAACTTGATGACATATCATAATAGCACACAGGCTTTGATGTTTTTTCAAGAATTCAATAGAGGAGGTTGCTCAAAATATGGAAACCAGCAGGTATTATTGCTACTTGATAATTAATTGCCCATGCCACAAGACAAATAGTTTAGTTCTTTCGAATGTTGATGTTCATTTTCTTCCCCAAATACCATTCAAAATCAACCAATGTATGTTGGAATTGTTATGTCATTCAAAAAACATTATTGTAACTTGCATATTAAATGGATCCTAAATCAAGTTCAAGAGCCTGCAAGAAATCACGCCTGATACTTATTTCGAACGTCAACTTTTTGAGGACAAGTTGAAGGATTGCAATTTTTCCTATCCTTTGATAATCTTCTTTATAATGATAATTACTATATGAAGGAAATCATCCATAACTGCTGATCATACTAAAATTCTTCCGGCTATTAATACCGAATTAACCAATATCCCTAGCAACATTAGATGAGCATACTCAGATGCTTACAACTTTTAAAGAGTTTTTAAATATTCTATAAGAAGAAAAAATTCTGACGATGATAAAATTGTTGAAGAACATACTGAAATATGTAAAAAACGAACAGAAGCACCCATTGATAATAATGAGCTAGTAATAATAAATGCTAATGAAGCTTTAAAAGGTTTGGAAGTTGTCCACGTCCTTTTGTTACATGAAATTTCTAGGGAACAATTAAAACAAGTTAATGCTCTTGACCGATATATTAATTTAAAAAAATGAATTCAGTGAAACAGATTAATTTTTTTAATATATAAATAATACATAATAAAATGGTATGATTTTTTTTAATGTATCACGTGCAACTAATGATATTCTCCCAATTCCCAAAGGTTAACTGTAAAATCAATTGTATCTGTTGATTTTTGACTAAGAATCCGGAAACAAAAAAATTTACTTTTGTGAGCCAATTTGTTTTATTCTTTTATTAACTAAATCTGCAAATTTCCGTATCAATTTCAGTATCAAAAGTACGGAATCAGTATGGAATCGATACTGAATCGATACTGAAATAATACGAAAGTAATACTGAATAGACGTATTTTAGTTAATGGTAAAACGTGGTTTAATTAATGGTAAAACGTGTTTTTAGTTATTGAAATCATACAGACAATTATAATAGTAATAGATTTAAAAATAAAAATTTGTTTATTTAATTTTTTTTTGAAAAATATAAATAAAAAAATACAAAAATATTTATACATGAAGTCGAAATTAAAGCCCAAATGTTGAAATATTTTAACTTGAGAGGCCATATCTGGCTGTTTTAGATTACCATTCGAATTCTCTGATGAGATGTCTAGTCTAATTCATAAAATTCAGATCATTGACCAGTGAGATATTTTTATTATGATATGAATATTAAAATATCGTTATTTGAATCACCTTTATGAGACTGTTCTAATAAGCAATGTTCATTAAAGTTGGATCACTGGTTCTCATGTGATATGACATAATTTCGACCATTTCAACTTCATGTATAGTATTCATGTATAGTATGAATGTGTAAAACAATTAATAATCAAATATAGGATTGTAGTCTTCACCTCATATCTATCTGCCTACTCTTAATTGAAGCTTGATGTTGGATATATTTATTGGATCATCTAAAAATATAACAAGATAGTATGTAATAAAAAAACAATCTCAAGTATCAATTTTTGACTAAATTAAATCATCTAAGAATATAATAATAACAATATCAGTATGCAATTAATAATAAATATCATGAAAAAATGATTTAATAAACAATTAGATATAAAAATACGATCTTTGTAAGATCAAAATAATTAATAGTTAATATTAAATATGAAAATAATCATAATACAGTGCATAATGCATCGAATCTACCTAACATACAGGTGGATCTTTCAATTGAAGACGAATCTTTCTATTAGTAATATTATGTTGTAATAATACCACTACCATGTATTTCTTTGTCTATTTCGAGGAAAGTTAAAAATAGTTGTTCTCCGCTTTTGCTGATTCCTAGAAAGCTCTAATAAGAATCTATTTTAATGCTAATATTGCTATATTAACTATAAGAACACAAACAGAATGAGTAAATATATTATCATTCTGCATATAATTAGATATTTAGAAGTAATATTTTAACATTTTTAAAAAACAGTATGTATTTCATAACTTTAATGTTACACCTTTAAGATTGATCCTTGTTTCAAATTCATTAGAGGATTTTTTGATTTTAAATTAATATCAAGTGACTTGAATTTTTTGAATAGAGAAAAGAATTGTTTGCTACTGCATAAGATCGACTAATAAGAATTATGATGATAATAATTGAAAAATAATGGCAGTAGTAGCTTCGTAATTAAGTGAATTTATTTTAATATCATCCAATAAAATTGACCAATTAAATTACAAAGATCATACAAACTTCTGCCTATGAGCATCCACATCCACACGCCTTTATTAGTATTAGTGTGCAGATGACACCGATCATCTAAAGACATCCAATTGCTATTCCCATTTTTGATATGAAATTCCTAAATAGATTTATTTTCACGATTTACCGCAGACCTTTTACAAATTTGGAAACAAAGGTAAGATCTGCATAAAATTTCGGCGAGCGGCGCAGCACGTGATGAATTCGCGGAATTTATGGAGCAAATGTTGTTTAAACCGGTGATGTGACCAGGTCAACATTTGTCTTGCAGTTTTTAGAACTAATTTTCTCTATACCATGTCTTGTGTTTTAAACTCGGGGGAGCAAAACAACGTGGCGGCCACCACATAATCATTTTACGAATTTTCACGGATTCTATATCTATCATAATAATAATGCAGGCACAAGTATTATATTATACCTACGTCTCTTTACCCCCACTCATACTACTACACGGGCTATGAAAGCTCTCATTCCTGGATCAAGAGAAATGATACCAGCATCTCTATTATTTTTGGCCACCAAAAACTTTAGGGTCTTAGTTATCGACCCTAATTTCAAGTAGTTTAGGGATTCGTTCAGTAATTTTTAATACTACTAATTCTTCCTCAATATGTTGACAATTGACTATAAATTTTATTTATTTTTTGCATCAATATTTGGATTTAATAGGACAATGCTGTTTCTAATACTAGAAGAACTCATTTGAGACCAGACAGGGTCTTTAATTGTTTTTTAAATAAAATTTTGTAATAAAAGTAATAAAAAATTTTTATAGAAAATTTCTGACATGTGATATTTATCACCTGTGACATATTCCGGTCTTTTGTAAATTCAAAATTTCCTTTTTTTTTTTTATTTCCATGATATCTCATCATCGCATGTAATAATAACATTGTTTCCAAATAGATTTTATTTATTTGTACAATGGAAATTTTAGAAATCTAGTTAAAGTTTAAATTTGGAATTTTGGAAATTCTCGAAGGTACAAAAGGTTTTCTACATAGAAATTACAGAAAAATAATGTTGGACTATTTTATTATTATGGTTAGGGACGAATGACTCATCAAAAAAAAATTATTTGTTTATTATTGTTTTCTTTTCATTAGCCACATATACGTTTACAAACAAAAAATCCGGGAATTGGAGTTTTTACTTATGATTTTTGATTTAATTGTTAATGGTGAAATTTAACAAATATTTTAGTAAATCAAATCAGAATTATTTTATTTTGTTTATTAATAAAAGACCTAATAGAATAACAACTAACCAACAATAGCAAGCCTTGAGAGTTAAAGATAATAATATTTTTATCATATAAATATGAGACAAATAAAAAATGGTAAAATAAATACAAGTATTTACCAACCATGTGCGCAAATGCATTACGTATTCATAAAAAAAATTTGTAACAATAATATATGTCACATAATATGTGATAGTAAACCATAAATTGGTTGATCTTGGTTTACGAAAGCAAATTACCATTCATCAATTGCGACGTCAGCAGAATGTGAGTGACCTAGAAGAAGACATATTGGAATTAGAGTTATGGATCACGAATTAACATCAAGGAAATCCTCTTTCGTCATTTATATAAGCAGTTAGATTAAAAACACAAACTTGATCTATACGCTTGCTTGTACTCATATACGTACGTATACGTATTACGTGTAATCGCTAAAAATATTATAAACTCGTAAAAAAATCCGATTTGCTATTTACTCATTTTTTTTTCTATGAATTTCTCTGATTTATCATTATGACTATGGTTATGATTATTATTATAAATGTTGCTTTGGAATTCTGAAACACAAATTAATTAATATTAATATTAAACTGTAATTATTTTGCGGAAAAACCGGAAATTATTATGTATCTAAAAAGTTTAATTTATGGTTCAATAATAAATAAATAAAAAAAATAATTAAATTCTCTGTGCAACCTTACTATTGTGCCTCCTTCTTTAAAGAACAAAAAAAAATTTTCAATTATTTTATATTGATTGTATAATAAAGTACATCTTTACGTAATATACAATATATAAATATTTTTTTTTGTATAATAAATAAACTTTCTTTTTTAATTTTTTTATTTTTTTTTCTAAAAAGAAAAAAATTTTATGTCAAATAAAAAAATTACTCCGCTATTATTATTAGTTAAAAATTTTTAAATAAAAGGGAAGAAGATATTTAAGTATTCAAGTACGTTCATTATTTTTTTATTTATTTATTTAATATAGAATATTCTTTAATATATATATATAAATCATTATTATCATCATTATATTATATCATTTTACATTTCATCATCTATATATTTCGTCATCGATACATCAATACATACAATACATACATATATTTCATCACTAATATCTATTAATAAATTATATATAATATAAAAAATATTAATATATTATAAATATATTTTATTTTTCCAAATCAAAAAATCAAATCAGAATTCTTTTAATTTGGGAAAAGGTTTATAAAGTAATAATAAAATAATATTACGACAATAACGTCTGTGACAATATAAATAACAAGTAAAAAACAAAAATGGGGCAAACATTATCAGAACCAGTTAAAGACAAAACTTCAGATATTCGCAACGATGCCAGGCTTGTATTTGCCTCTTCAGCAATGCAAGGCTGGCGTATCAGTATGGAAGATGCTCACACTACTGAACTTGAACTTGCTAATCGTCCAGGTTATAGTTTCTTTGGTGTTTATGATGGTCATGGAGGTATTTATACTAACGTATTATGTAGGTTATGGTTTTTATATGTAATATTTTATTAATATTATTTATTGTTATGACAGGACAAAATGTTGCAAGATATAGTGGTTCAAATCTTCATCAGAAAATTGCAGGTGACACAAATTTTCCAACAAATATTGAAAATGCAATAAAAAGCGGGTTTTTAGCGATCGATGACGATTTAAGAAAAGGTACGAGATTGGGATATATATACATTTGATATTCAAAGATATATTTTATAATTGTATAATTGCATAATTATGACATATATTTGCTTTTTTATATTTTATCATTCTTATCATTATTATATTAGATCCACAATTTGCAAAAGATCCTTCTGGATGTACTGCAGTAATTTCAGTAATAACCCCTGATAATTATATTTATGTTGTAAGTTGTGTCAGTGATAACAATAATGTATAATTATAATATATAAATAGCATGAAAATATATAAATAAATTAATATATGATGGTGATATGAATATTTCAGGGAAATGCCGGTGATTCTAGGGCAGTCATAAGTATAGACGGTACTGCAAGAGACATGTCAAACGACCACAAACCTGTAAATCCGGGTAAATTAAATTATTCAATTAGTTTAATAAACTCACTGATATACTTGTATTTATTATTCACTAATACTCAAAAAACATAACTACATTATAGGAGAAAGTAGTCGTATTCATAAAGCTGGTGGATTTGTTGAATTTGGCCGTGTTAATGGTAATTTGGCTTTATCACGCGCTATTGGTGATTTTGAATTTAAACAAAATACAAATTTTGGCCCAGAAGAACAAATCGTGACAGGTAAACAAATACATTAAATTTCATGCATATTGCATATAAACATTTATTTGTTTATATTTATCTTTATTTATGTGTGTGTTATCGTATATAGCATACCCCGATGTCCAAAAGATCAAGATAGAGCCTAATAAAACAGAATTCTTGGTTTTAGCTTGTGACGGTAATTATCAAAATTTTGCAAAATCGATCAATTGAAAAATTGATAATTAATTATTCTCAAACACATTAATATCAATCTATTAATAATTGATAATCAATATATATATATATATATTAACTAATTATCAGGGATTTGGGATTGTCTAACGTCACAGAAAGTTGTTAGTTTTATTCGTCATGAGTTATGTACGAAAAGATCTTTACAAACTGCTTGTGAAAATTTGATGGATCGTTGTTTGGCAAAAGATAGTGAACTTGGTGGTATTGGCTGTGACAACATGACCGTCGTTATTGTTGGTTTTCTTAATGGCAAGAGTTTGGATGACTGGTACGATTGGATGGCTAATCGCTATGGTTCTTTAGGTCCTGATTTTTCCGATGAAGTCGAGCCAAGAAGTCACACGGAAGATTACGGTAGTATGGATGATGAGAACGAACAAGATTTAGAAATTCCTGAGAGCCCAGACATTGATACTCGCCCAAATAGTGGTAGAAGTACTGGAAGTATTGAAGATGATATCAATAATTATGATAATCAAGGACAACCAATCATTCCCACAACACCTATCACTGTTGTTAGTGCTACCAATAATACTATTGTTGATAATAACATTCCTATTAATATTAATACCAACAATAATGACAGTACCAACAATAATGACAGTACCAACAATAATGACAATATTAATAATCATAAAAGTAATTTATCTAAAAAAAAATAATTAAAGACGATGTGTGATGATGGTTTGTTGGTAACTAATTACGTTTTTTTATTTGTATAACAAAGGAAAGTGAGAAGTGATAGATAAAGAAGATAAAAGGAGATAAAAAAACACAATAAAAAAAATTAATTAATATATATATATATATATATAATATTATACATATATACACACACACACACACATATATACATACACACTCATATATATATATATTATATTATATTATTTTTATTTTATATTGCGTTTTGATATAACAATTAATAATTAATAATTTTATATGTATATTAACAGCATTTATATATATATCTATATGTGTTATATATGTTATACATGTGAATTAATAATCAATTTTTCTTTTTTTTCATCCATAAAAACTTTTATTTATAATTTATTTCCAAAATAAAATTCCAAAAATAAAGTCTCGTCATTTTTCGTTGATTCGTTTAAAAGATTTTTACCAAAAAAAAAAAATCTAAATAAAAATTTGCTTTTAAAAAAAAAATATTGAATAATTAACAATCAATTTTGAGTGTTTTGTCCTAGAAAATAGTAGTTAATTTAAATAAAATCATTTATAATTAATCTAGTCATTCTAGCTGATGTGGTATTATCATCTTAACCAATACTTGGGGCGACTTGTCTGCAATTTGTGAAGCTGCCCGGCTTGTGCCTGAAAGTATGGCTTTGCCAGTATTTGAAAAACATAAAATTAGGGAAATGATGCTACTATATATGACACATTAACCATTGTTTTCTTGATGTAAATGTCAATTTGCTCAAACGCCTGCACTATTTAACCACTTATTTGCTTTTACTTGTTACTACTACAGTTTTTTCTGGCGGAGCATCAGTTGTACTTGACTTTAATGGTGGAGGTTCGTTCAAATTCTGGTTTCATTGTTGGCTTAACATCTGTTCTTGCTGGACACAAATAGTGATGATAGATATCCGTTCATCTTATGATCCGTTATTTACCTCTCCGTCATCCGATCATCGTACAAAATATATCAATCTGGATTTCATCGGATAATCTGGATAATCTGTAGAATTTGCCGGATCGAACGGATCGGTGCCAGATTCAAGCTTGAACGGATAATAATAATAATAGTATTAAAATACAGCAATAACAATAATTGTGTTATAAAATATGTCAAAAGAAGAGATCAAAATGTATTTTTATACCTAAAATTCCAAAAGTTTAAAAGCAAAGGACGAAGGGAACCGATTTTCAAAGTTGTCTACAAACTGAGCTTAAAACGACCCGGTTTGGTATAAAACAACTTTCACTTTGTTAGTACACGAGGCTTGTTCACTTGATGGTTTCTGAGTATTTCAAAGACGAATTGCAAACCCATTTTTTAAACTCTAAAAAACCACAAAATCACAATGCGTTTGAGCAATAATAATAAACTTATTTAGAATAAAAAATTGTTAACTATTGCAATTTTTTATGAGGAAACCTTTCACTTGGTATGCAATTTCTACTTACTTGACTGACTTTGAGCATTTCAAAGACGGATTTCATAAAAAGTTAAACATCGTGTAAAGCCAACTTTGCCTTTTTAGAAATTTCCGATGATCAAAACGAACTTCAAGTCCTATGAGGTAGGTAGTTAGACTGAAACAAAACCAGACAAGTGAACATTAATGTCAGATATCAAATTTAGTGCAAACACAAAATACTGATCACGTTACGCTTCAAGAAAATTCCTTCGCGTTCAACCACTTCAAGAGCACGAAAAACTTGTGCAAAAATTCTTTATTAAAAAAACATCATAGCCTTGCTAATATTTTACAATTGTAAAAACCAATCAATATCAATATTAAATAGTATAAGAAACCTGAATCTTTATTCAATAATTTCATTATATATGAATATAACCTTTTCTAACATCCTTACCTTTACCACTGAATTTTCTTGTGCATTGTTGATTGGGCTTAGTACAGAACCAGATATATGATAAATAATTAATTTAATAGAGCCTGGAAAATAAAATCAAGTATTAGTATAAATCGGACAAACCAATTAACAAACACAAATAATTGGAGGATGTTGAAAAGTTGTGAATAATTTTAAACACTAGATTCAAAATGTTTTTTATTCAACAAAAAATTTTGTTACTTGGAGAAAGGAAAATTTCTGCCTCCACTTTAAAACTTCAATTAATCCTCTAATTAAAGCTCCTCACGAGCTGGCTTGTGAGCTGGCTCATGTGGAGTCTTACCTCTAACACTAACAACTAAAGAAAACCATAGAAGCAATCCAGGAACAGATTAATAAGGGAAAGAAAGAGAGGCTTTTACTATTATCTTTTTTTGTTGTTTTATCATCCTTTAAATCTATAAAAAATAAACTGCATTGTCCAACTAAAATCATACAAAAATGAAAATATACAAGTGAAAAAAGCCACATGAGCTTATGTACAAGTCTACTCAAACCAATTACATGATCTGAGCCACTGAACCATTCCAACAATTCAAGCCAAATACACTACATTGACAAAAGTTGCACCCAAAAACACACATAATAAAAAAGTTAATAAACAATATTATATCATAGCTTAGTGAGGTGTCTTACATTTAGTGTTCCATGTCACAATCCAAAAAGGAAACCAAAGCAGTCACAAAGTGGTTGAAACCAGGTGTCACAAACCATTTTATAGATGCTGGTTGCAATTCTTGGTGATGGTTGCAACCATATTTGTGACATATAAAAATGGCTTGTGACACCTGGTTGCAACTACTTTGGTTTCCTTTTTTGGATTGCGACATGGAACACTAAACAATTTTTATATGTTGCAAATATGGTTGCAACCATCACCAAGAATTGCAACCAGCATCTATACTTACATTATAAGCATAGTGACAAAATCGATTGTTGATCTTTTTTATGTTGTGAAACATATGACTTCAATTGAATTTAGAATGGAAAAAAGTTGCATGACTGCGTACAAAAATTTGTTTAACCTGAGATGTATTTTTTTAACACGTATATTTTGCTTTCTATGTTCTTGGTATGTGTGTGAAAAATGATCAAATGATCAAGTTGCTTTTGAAGGGTTACAT